GATGCCGGTGCTTCAGGTCAGGGCGTTAACCCGCTGTGCCACAGCACCAGCCCCAGCCTAATGTTTTAAGTTGATAATTTTGTGTGGTCCACAATGATGTCATCAATACCCAAATGGCCCGTCACAGATAAAGTTCCCCACCCCTGCTAGGGATCTACTATCTATCTCACTCCAGCAAGGCCTTCCTGGCTGCCTTTTTTTTTTTTTTTTTTTCAGGCAGAGTTTGACAGTGAGAGAGAGAGAGAGAGAGAGAGACAGAGCGAGAAAGGTCTTCCTTCTGTTGATTCACCACCACCCCCCCCAAATGGCCGCTACGGCCGGCGTGCTGCGCCGATCTGAAGCCAGGAGCCAGGTGCTTCTCCTGGTCTCCCATGCGGGTGCAGGGCCCAAGCACTTGGGCCATCCTCCACTGCCTTCCCAGGCCACAGCAGAGAGCTGGCCTGGAAGAGGGACAACTGGGACAGAATCTGGCGTCCCAACCAGGACTAGAACCCGGGATGCCGGCGCCGCAGGCGGAGGATTAGCCAAGTGAGCTGTGGCGCCTGCCCTCCTACTTTTTTTTTTTTTTTTAGATAATTATTTATTTATTTGAAAGGCAGAGTTAGGGAGAGGGAAAGAGAGTCTCTGCTAGCTCACTCCCCAAACTGCTGTAATAGCTGGAGCTGGGCTGATCTGAAGCCAGGAGCTTATTCTGGGTCTCCCAAGCCGGTGCAGGAGCCCAAGGACTTGGGCCATCTGTCACTCCCAAGTGCATTACCAGGGAGCTGGATCGGAAGTGGAGCGGCCAGGACTCGAACTGGTATCCTGGATGCTGGCACCGCAGGCGACAGCCTTATCCACTCTGCCACGGCACCAGTCCACCAGCCCCGGCGCTTTTATTTATCTCATTATTTATTTTCCTGGTGCACTTCCTGGGGTTCACTTTTCCAGCTCTGCTCCTCATCTTTTTTTTTTTTTTTTTTTTTTTTTTTTCTTTTTTTATTTATTTATTTATTTATTTTTTTTTTTTGACAGGCAGAGTGGACAGTGAGAGAGAGAGAGACAGAGAGAAAGGTCTTCCTTTGCCGTTGGTTCACCCTCCAATGGCCGCCGCGGCCAGCGCGATGCGACCGGCGCACCGCGCTGATCCGATGGCAGGAGCCAGGAGCCAGGTGCTTTTCCTGGTCTCCCATGGGGTGCAGGGCCCAAGCACCTGGGCCATCCTCCACTGCACTCCCGGGCCACAGCAGAGAGCTGGCCTGGAAGAGGGGCAACCGGGACAGAATCTGGCGCCCCGACCGGGACTAGAACCCGGTGTGCCGGCGCCGCTAGGCGGAGGATTAGCCTAGTGAGCCGCGGCGCCGGCCGTCTGCTCCTCATCTTTAAGCTCTCAAGGTTATGCCAAAGCAGCCTTAGCACCCCCTGTGAAAGGCGATCATTCAACTTAGGGAGAGCTTTCAAGACAGTTGAGGAAGATTCCGTGACACTACCCGTCACGCCACCCCTTCCCGCCATTCCCTCTTCGCCTCTTCCTCTTTTCAGTAAGAAAAGTTGCCCATTCTCTAAACCAGAGCCGCCACCTGCGGTCTCATTTCTCCATGGGCCTCACAGATTATGCCCCCGCCCTTCTGCCTGCTCAGTCTCTCGCTCCCCACTGCCTCTTCTCCTCCCCTCTGCAGCTTCTTCCCTGCAGAACACCACGTTGTCCGTGAGCTTTCTGCTGTTCCAGGCTGAAATATCCTTTCCTGTTCACGTCTGTTTTCCTCCTCCTCCTCCCCCCCACCCCCTTCCTCCTCCTAGCTCTTCTGGAACTTAATGTTCTACTCTGGAGAGCAAGATGACGCACAATTGTCTGGAAAGATAGTCAACAAACTAGTAATTTCCTTCTTTTTAGAAGATTTATTTGTTTATTTGAAAGGCAGAGTGACAGAGAGCGAGGGAGGGAGAGAGGACAGTTCCATCCGCTGGTTCGTTCCCCAAGTGGCCACAACAGCTGGGGCTGGGCCAGGTCGAAGTCAGGAGCCCGAGCTGCATCCTGTTCTCCCACGTGGGTGGCAGGGCTCAAGCGTGTGGGCCACCTTCCATTGCCCTCCCAGGTACATGAGCCGGGAGCTGGATCCAAAGGGGAGCAGCCGGGACCCAAACATGCACTCTGATATGAGTTGTCAGCACCACCAGTGGTGGCCTAATCTGCTTCACCGTAATGTTGGCCCCAGTATTTCCTCCTTAGCACTGATATCTACCAGCTGGCAATAAACACGCAAAAAAGAAAGAAAGAAAAGAAGAAGCGTCAGGGAAGGGGTGTCCGAGAACATGGCCTTGCAGCAGGGAGCCATGCGTGCCCTTGTACAGGAGGGAGCCTTGCCGCTGTCTGGGAGAAGGGCCGTCCAGGGAAGGAAGAGCAAACACAGACCCTAGGGCAAGCGTGCCTGGTGTGCTCGGGGCTAACAAGGAGGCACAGAGGCCAGTGTGGTCCCAGGGGATGAGAAAGGGTTAGGCTAAGATTGGAGGGGGGCAACGTGGCCATGAAGGGCCAGCCTCTGAAAAGGTCCAGACGCTGTTGTTAGGGCTCTGAGCAGAGGAGATGTGTTCTGTTGATGTTTTCTTTCTTTGAAAGTATACAGCTCTCATGTATTTCATACATACAGATTCAGGAACCTAGCGGTACTTCCCACCCTACCCTCCCTCCTGCGCTCCCACCCTTCTTCCTCCTCCCTCCCTTGTTCCCACTCTCAATTTTTACAAAGATCTATATTCAGTTTACTTTATACTCATAAGATTAACCCTACACTAAGTAAAGAGTTAAACAAATAGTATGTAGAAAAAAAAAGACTGCTCCTCAAAAGTATCTACTGACACTTTTTTTTAAAGACTTACCTATTTGAAAAGCAGAGTTACAGAGACGGGGGTCTTCCATCTTCTGACTTACTCCCCGAGTGGCCACAATAGCCAGGGGTGGGAGCCACAGTTCTGCAACTCCATCTGGGTCTCCCCTATGGGTGCAAGGACACGGAAACTTGGACCGTCTTCCACTACTTTCCCAGGCACAACAGTAGGGAGCTGGATCAGAAGCAGAGCAGCGGGGTCTCAAACTGGCGCTCTTACGGGATGTTGGTGTTGCAGCTGGGGGCTTAACCTGCTGCACCCAGCACCAGACCCTCTTACTGACATTTTCAAGGTGGAGCTGACAAAATGGCTGATAGATTGGCTAAGGGGTGTGACAGAGAGGGAGAGAAGTGCCTGGGGCACTGAAGAATAGAATTCCCACGATGGGAAAGACTTGGAGAAGAACAGGCTTATAGGGAGATGAAGTTCAATGTTTCTTTGTTGTGTCAGTGAGGTTTATGACACACGTAAGTGGAGACATGAAGTAGCCACTTTATAAAGATAAGAATAAAAAGGCTTTACCAGTATAAGCCATAAAAACCACTCCCATATGTACACTTCTAGAACTTCTTATCCATTACTCATTTGATAATACAGGAGCAATTGCCTTGTGACACCTCCTTGTTACTGCTTTGTCTCATTTAACTTGCATTTTATTCCACTACATTGTACCTCTTGTCCGACTCATGGAGTTCTGAGTTCCTTGTGGGCTGGGACTACACAGTCCTATTTCATTTGTCCCCCATAGCATTCGGCACAGTCTTAGGCCGAACCCCTTCTTTTCTGCAAGTTCATCACTTTGACTTCTGCACACAAGCATGCCTCAACTGGGTCTTTTGTTCTTTCCTTTGCAGGCCACTATGTGCACGGCATCTGCATCTATGGAAATGGAGACTTGAAGTGGCTGATGAATTCGCAAAGCCTGTTTGCTAACAAATTTGAGCTCAACACATACCCCCTGACTGTGGAGTGCCTGGAACTGAGGCTTCGAGAAAGAACCCTCAATCAGAGTGAAACAGCAATACAACCCAGCTGGTATTTTTGACCTACAACAACGCATGACAGAAGGGAAATTGCAGAAGAAGCTTTCGTTGTGAGAGACTTGTGCCTCGACTGTGTTAAGGGTCCCGGGGCCTGGCTGTGTAGACTTCAGCTGTGCACGGTGATGCTCTGAAGTACCCCAGCAGGGCGGCTGAGAAGAGCAGTCCTGGCTCCTTGACCAGTTCAGCAGTTTCTTGATACTCACCTCCATATGAGGCTGTGCTTCTGATCAGTGGTAAATATTGTCAGATCTTTGCACCAGATTGTTGTATAAATATGTTCCGATGAAAAAGGAGAATTGTAGATAATAGTATTTAAGAAAATAAGACTTTGATTTCTTTGAAGGAAAAAAATCTTTTCAACACGTTAGTATCACCACTAGAATCGGCACGCCAATAGGGGTTCCAGGTGTCTCAAGTGGCAGCTGAACCAATACTCAACACTGTTCAACCACATACAGGCATAGGAACAGCTTTTCTGGGTAACTGGCCAAGGTCTTTAAAACAAGCTCTAGAATTGAGAACAGACCTTGTCCCTGAGTTTCAACACTAGCATTTTCAGTTGCCCATGTCGAGAGTTGTGTGTGTAGTATAAAGCCATTAACACAAGCTCATGTGGGCGTGAAGATGGGTGTTACTGTCTGCTGCTCCAGGAATAGGACCTTGGGGAAACAGAACATTTCTCTACATATGCTGGAATGTGCTCTGACCCTCCTCCATGTTGTCCATTGAGAACTCTAAGAAGTCCTTGCAAAAAATGAAGATATTCCTACAAGAGGTGCTGTTGCATGAATCTCACGTGGTGTCTGGAACACCTTAGAAGGAAGCACTCCTCGGCTGCAATCCCCTCCTCTCGGTGTTATGGGACTTGCAAAAGAGTGGCCGGATTCTGTCCTGCGAGGCTTTTAACTGCACTGTAGTGTTCTCTGAGTGGCTTTACAACGCCCAGTGCTGATGGCAGTGCCTTCATTTCTAAGTCTAAGGGCTTTCAACCGTGGGTGACCATCTCTGGCCTGAACCCCCTCCGTCCAGCCACCCACACATCCGCCCTTCCGTGCAGGTTGCATTCCAGAAATAGTTCTGCAGTGTCTGCTTTGCTTCTGCCAGGCCTGTGCCGAGACACGTCGGAAAGTACGACGGAAGCTTCTTACCTCTCGAAATCTTTGGAATCATGTCAAATTGGAGGGCCTGCCATGGACGGTCTTACAGAGCAGTTGCATTCAGCACCATCACGGGCGAGTTTATATGTGGCGATTTCAGGCCAAGTAGAACAGTGATTAGCAGCGGAGGTTAAAGCAGAGATTGTCTGAAAGGGAGGGGAGTGGGGCGACAGAAGCTAAAGGCCGCTGCGCTGTGTTCCAGGCCACCTGTGAGCTCCTTATGTTTCCTTTCATTCAAACCTCACAGCACTCCTGAGGGGCTCACGTGATGCCCCTCGCCCTGCAGATGAAGTAGCTGAGGCCGAGAGGAGCCAATCAACACTGGGAAATGAATTCTCTGCCAGTGAACTGGGATTCTCCCACTGCCCTTCTCGGTTCATTTCCGGGGGTGGAAGAGCGAGAGAAGGGGAGATCAAGCTGTATTGAGCGCACCAGAAAAGGCAGGTTTTAGTTACGGTCTCAGTGTTACCATTGAGAGGAGGTCAATGTGAAGTCTACTTGCGAATTGCTCTGATCCACTGCGTTGTTCAATATTTATTTATTCTAACGAGAACCAATGACTACAACTGAAGTGACACTGAATTAACACATTTTTACTCTTTTCTCTATGATTGTGCCTGTTGAATGTTAATCATATTTAAAGGGAATGACTTTGAAGTGAGGCCTCTTTTCCAGCTGCTGAGAAACACAAGGGGCTGTTTCAGGTGGAGAAGGCTGACAGGTGGGGAGCACACCTGGGGTCAGTGCTGAGGGCTGACGATGTCTCTTGCACACGTTATGTAAGTGGTCGCACCTGAGAGGAGATGTGTTACACTGGATTTTCTCCCGGAGCAGAAGGAATGTTTCTGGAATTGATGTTTACATGTCTGTTGCTGGTCGTCCCACCCACGTCTTACGTGCTGTAGTGCTGGAAGAATGTAGCGTTTGGCTGATAGATTTCTTCCAACCCACTGGGATGCCCTGAAACTACTGTATCTGTCTTTGTTTTTGATGATGTTCTGTGTTGTTTCCTTGGAAATAAATTAATATATTATTTTCCACCTTTGGGGATGTTGTGTTTTTTTTATTTGATGGCTAGTTAAAAATCCACTGAAGACAAAGCAATGCTACCATTAAAAAAAAAAAGAAACACATTCATATATGTATGACTGTCTTAAAAAACACCCACCACTGAAAAATAACCAAAGCTTTCCCTTTGTGGGGTGTTTGGAGAGTAATTTAGAATGAATTTAAATTGGGTACATATCCTAAAATTTGAGATAGGAATATGTTATTATTTGCCTGCCTTATGTACTCATTTATTTTTACTGAAGATACAATTTTGGAATAAGATTTCATGTTAATACTATCATAATTATGTATCAAATTCCAAAGTTTTCGAGCACCATTTCAGATATAAATTTTCTAAATAAATAATGCCTCTGATTGACACATGAACATGATAAGTTTTAAAGAAAACAACTCAAAAGACTTTTTTTAAATTTATTTTTGCTTATTTGAAAGGCAGAGCAACAGATAAAGACAGAGGAGAGATCTCCCATTTGCTGATTGACTCCCCCAATGTTGCAATAGCCAGAGCTGGGCCAGGCCGAAGCCAGGAGTCCGGAGCTCGGTTCAGGTCTCCTACGCAGATGGCAGGGACCCAAGCACCTGAACCTAGGCGCTCCATGTGGGATGTGAACATCGCAGGCAGCATCTTTAACCACCTTGCTAAACACTGGCCCCCAAAGGACTTCTCAAACGTCATTTTTAAAAATGAATGTATTTTAAAACTAAGCAAACCTATTTCATACTACTAAAATAATAAAATGTGTGCCTCAGGGGCCAGCGTCGTGGAGCAGTGGGTTAAGCTTCCGCTTCTGACGCTACATCTCCTGCTGCAGTGCCAGGTCAAGTCTCTGCCCTCTGCTTCCCATACAGCTTCCTGCTAATGCACTTGGAAGCAGCTGCTGAGACCCAAGTACTTGGGTCCCTGCCTCCCATACGGAAGACCCAGCTTGAGTTTCAGGTCCCTGGCTTTGTCCCAGTCCCAGCTATTGGCGTCATCTGGGGAGGGATAGAGACGGAAGGTCTCTCTCTATCCCTGCCATTCAGATAAGTAAACAAACCTTGAAAAATAAAGTGTGCTCGTAAAAATGGAAACAATACAGAACAAAAAGTGAACTGTTTTCTCCAGAGGTAATCAGTTATGTGGGACGTTGTGTGGGTGTGTGTGTGTGCATGTGTGTGTTCCAGTTAAACTTGTTTACAAAGGCAGGCAGCAGGCTGACGTGCCCTGTGACACACAATCTGCAGACTCCTGCGGCAGACAGGCCTCGGTGCTCTGTGGTCGCCCTCAGCCCCACCCCCTCGGCCGCCCCCATTTCTTGCATAAGGCTGAGGAGCTTTCCACCCACTACCACATTCCTTTCCACTGACACCCTCTCACTTCATCACTGGGAAGCATTTTAACAGCTGACTCACTACCTTCTCCCAGGACCCCCTGTGCCCCACCTGCCACTGGTGATGCTCGCCTCATTGCCAACTGGGCAGGATAGCAAGTACAGCCTCGTACATCCTCCACCTGCAGCGCCGGCATCCCACAGGGCACCAGTTCGAGTCTCAGATGTTCCACTTCTGATCCAGCTCTTTGCTAATGCACCTGGGAAAGCAGCAAAAGATGGCCCAAGTCCTTGGGCCCCTACATCCATGCGGAAGACCCGGAAGAAGCTCCTGGCTCCTGCTTTGAACTGGCCCAGCCCCCACCAATGCAGCCATTTGGGGAGTGAACCAGTGGATAGAGGATTTCTCTGTCTCTCCCTCCCTTGCTCTAACTCTTCCTTTCAAGTAAATAAATAAACTAATTAATCTTACAACAACAACAAAAAACACGCCAATTTTCACTTTGCTTTCATGGATTTCACTCAGGTTGGGTTCTCTGGAAGCAGAAGCTGAGAAGGAAGAATCAATACCTATGGCGGGGAAGGGGACAGGAGTGGCAGAGGAAGAAGTGGAACTGAGGTCGACTCAACACAACCCCTACCCCCACTCTGCAGTGGGGATGCTGGGAATGAATACTGCCCATCAGGGATACTGCCTCTGATAAGCAGTCAGGCCTTCACCTCCACACCCCTGTGCTGGCTGCCCCAGGAGGAGGGTGTTCCCTGCAGGTGCATCTGACCCTTGGAGACTCTGTCTTCTGCTCCCAGCCTCTGCAGGTGCCAGCCAGTCCTGCCACGTGAATCCTACTGCTAATAAGCTCTGCTTTGGGGTGCTCCCATCCACAGCTCTGCTCCCAGCTCCAGCACAAAAAGAACACCTCAGGCTTGGGAATACACTGCCTCGAGCGTCTCTGGTTGGGGGGGTTCTTACGACCGTGGCAGCTCAGGTTCGTGGATGCAGTGCCCCAGTGACGCAGGCAGCTGCCGGTCTCCAGCACCACACCCTGTGCAGGGTCCTCAGCACCCTCCAGGTTCTGCCGCTCTTCCCCGGCAAAGTGCAAACCACACCCTCACAGGACACCAACCCCTGAGACTTGCACATATTTTGTTGTTCTTGGAAGTACAGAGAATTCTGGAAGCATAGCTCTAGCTCCAGGGACACAAAATTCAACATCCGAGCTGCTGAGAACTGTGGGAAGACACAGGGTCTGCAATTTCCATCAAGAAGGCTTTTTAAGTGTTTTCAATGAAGTAGTTACACGTGTAGCTCCTGTAGCCGCACTGTCCAATACAACTGCTGCCCCAGGGAAAATGTCCTGTCTAGAGTGTCCAATACAGTGTGTGTTTACCCAAGCCAGGATAATGTAGGGTTATAACAACCCAATGCCCTTGCCCTGTCTTGACTCATTGCTTGCTTGCTTTCTAAGATTTATTTATTTGAGAGGCAGAGAGAGAGGTCTTCCATCTGCTGCTTCACTCCCCAGATGGCTGCAATGGCCGGAGCTGCGCCAATCTGAAGCCAGGAACCTCTTCCGGTCTCCCACAGGGTACAGGGGCCCAAGGACTTGGGCCATCTCCACTACTTTCCCAGGCTATAGTAGAGAGTTGGATTGGAAGTGGAGCAGCTGGCACTCAAACCAGCACCCATGTGGGATGCTGGGTTGTAGGTGGCAGCTTTGCCAGCTATGCCACAGCGTTGGGCCCGACTCATTGCTGGGACGTGAACCAGCTCCCACATGGGATGCTGGCACCACAGGTAGAGGCTTAGCCTACTATGCCAGCATGCCAGCCCTGAAAAATTTTTTTAAATGGTAGCAGTGATAGAAGTTCTCCTTTTGTTTTTCCAACATTACAGGGCCCAAGGAGCTATTGTGCATGATGTCAGAGTTTCTGGTGGGTACCTTTTATTAAGAATCAGAATAACAGAGAACAAATGTAATTGTCATTTTAAAAAACATCCCAGTTCTCATCCCTTTTTGTTGGCTGATGGAATAATAGGTGAAGAGTGAGGCAGATAGTTTGCATCTAGGACCAAGTAGTTTGCATCCCAGACCAGTGCCTGGGCTGGGAGTCTCCTATCATAAACACTCCCTCTTCCAGGCAGGGAGCCTAGGGACTACAGGATCAAGCCACTGGAACAGATACCAGCGGACAACCTTCCTGCGGGGCTAAGTTCCGACCCTGGAGCTAAGATGTCTTTGATGGGAGAGGTATGGGTGAAGCCGACCACCCCCACCTTCTGTTGAGGAACTCTAACCTCTGACAGCAGTGGGCATCCAGTCACTGCAAGATCCACCTGGACAAGTCCTGCTGGAGCCCGGGAAGCCTGCTCTTCATCAGGGGCTGGATCCCAGAGGCCGTGGTAGACAGGTGCACAGAACCACCCGCAGTTAGAAGCTGAAGAGTGGCCGCCATCGAGGGTCAAACTGCAGGAGCAGACCTCAGGCATAACGTGACCCGGATGGAGCTGAGGATATTAGGAGAGGCAGTTGCAAAACGTGGGTGTGAAGTTAATTAGCACTATTTATTTATTTATTTATTTATTTATTTATTTGACAGAGTTAGGTGAGAGAGAAAGAGACAGAGAGAAAGGTCTTCCTTCCATTGGTTCACTCCCCAACGGCCGACCCTGCTGATCCTGAAGAGTTAAAATTGTATATGTGCGGGTGTAAAAAGTTAAGCTTAAGCTTACAGGTTGAAACCTTCCTGGTGCAGCTGTGAAAATAAAACAGTGAAGTAGCACCTTGACAATAGGGACTCCATTTTGGAGCACTTGAGACTGCATTCTGGGAAAGCAACCCCCCCACCGTGAGACTCTGGTCCGAAACTATGATCTCAAATAGTCGGACAATAGCAGTGCACTACATCACCCTTGGCAACACACAAAAACCCCCTAGCATGATTGCTCAAGCTTAAAAGTAGAAAGGTTACACCTGGGTTACCTGGGCTAATAATGAAGATGTGATTTGTCTATGTCTTAAGATCATAATTGCTGATTGTAAGACTTTAGCAACTGCTTAACAACCGTGTATTCTCTTCCCCCCTTCCCGGTTTTGCGGTTTTTGCCTTTATAAACCCGAACCTTTGGTTATTCGGGGCTGCTCTGTTCATGTATGATCAGACAGCCCCAGCATGCTGGATAATCAATAAAGCTTCCCCTTGCTGTTTGCATAAGAGATGTCTCTTGGTGACGTTTTTCGGGCAGTCGACTCTAACAATCCAAAGCCAGGAGCCAGGTGCTTCCTCCTGGTCTCCCATGTGGGTGCAGGGCGCAAGTACTTGGGCCATCCTCCACTGCCTTCCCGGGCCATAGCAGAGAGCTGGACTGGAAGAGGAGCAGCTGGGACTAGAACCCAGCGCCCATATGGGATGCTGGCGCCGCAGGCAGAGGATTAACCAAGTGAGCCATGGCGCCAACCCCAATTAGCATGATTTATTTCAAGTTCATATTGTTGAAGGTAAGCCAGGCAAAAATGTAAGTTCTAGAGGACTTTTAAAAAAATGTTTTATTTTAAAATAATTTTAGGCTGAGGAAAAAGTTACAAAAACAGTACAGGGAGTCCGTGTGGATCTCTCCCCCAAAGTCTCCTTATGTTAACATCTTACATAAGCAAAGTTCA